TGTCTGTCCGATGTCCTAATGTAGGATGCAGTGATAAAATGGAATTGCGCCAACTGGAGGTAAATTTGAAGGTTTGGTATGGTAAAAGTATTTTAAATGCTGCATTTAAAAAATTTTTACTTGCAAAAAAAATAAATAAAATAAATTCTGTCAGCCCCGTCAGGCCAGTCGCACCAAAAATAGCATGCATGCTTATTATGGTAACTTGCAGGCAGCACAAAAAATGAAGCCTTTTTTTTTTTATTGATCAGCAAGTCTTCAACAAGAACTGCCATACAATCTAATGATGCCAAATGCCTTTTTTTTAATACAAATTTTCAAAGGGGTCATATGATGCGATTTCAAATTTTCTTTCTCTTTGGAGTGTTACAAGCTGATTGTGAATAGATAAGATCCCTGAAGTTGCAAAGACTAAAGTCTCAAAACCAAAGAGAAGGAGGGGGCTTTGTAGAAAACGAAGCGTTTGAGAGAGGCGGGGCATAGAGGACCTACAATAATGTACAGTATTTGAAAAATAATGTGTTTTTTGAACATTAAAGCATGTCAACATATTCTGTTACACCAAATACACAAAATAATGATCTTTAAAAAAGCATCATATGACCCCTTTAACTTTTTAAAGGGGTCATGAACTGAGAAACCAAAATTCCCTTGATCTTTTGACATTTAAGAGGTCACTGTACTATAAAAACAATCTGTAAGTTTCAGAACTCAACTTTCTTGTTAGTCTAAAAACCAAAACTGCCAAAACGACAACTTTTGGAATGTCTTCTATGATGTAATAGCGTGGATAAGCACCACCTACGCAGCTTTAGATCAACGCCTGCTTCAACATCACTGCCTGTTTAGCCCCGCCCACTGATTCGTGTTTATGAGAGAGGCAAACACGCAGGTCTATGCAGAAACCAAACAATAAAGATGCTCCGAATACAACAAGACACTGTGCAGTGCCAAGTTGTGGAAAAACAGTGTTTGCGTTGCCTTCCTTCTGCTCCCAACGTTAGGAAAGAGTGAATGAATGAAGATCCAGACCGCGTCAGAACTTGGTCCTTTGTTTACTTCATTTTACTGCGGATTCGTTTACAAACAAGGCACAATTCGACGCAGGATCTGTTTTTATTATGTGGTAACTATTGCTTTGCCTCTTCTTACAGATCGTTTGATATGTATTGTGTTATTTATGCGTTTTTGACCTAAATCACAGCAGCGTCCATCTGTGAGGAATGTACGCTGTCAAACATACACCACTGTTAGCCAATCATAGCAGTTTACTTCCGAGTATACAATCCGTCACGCCTATTCAAACAGAGCTTTCTGATGAGAAGGGTTACAAACAGGACAGAAAATATCTTATTACTTATAATTTTTTTTTTTTTTAATGTAATAATCTTAACATTAAAAGTGGACCTCAGAGAACAGTACAAAATAAAAAAAAAAACAGAGGCAGTTCATGACCCCTTTAAGAATATTTTTAGGTTCTTAAATATGGTTAAAAAAATAGAACTTATGGGACCCAAGGTATTTCAACTTAAAATCTTGTTAATTAAAACGGTCCATGGATATGTTACGCATCAGCTCCTCAGAGAGCAAGACCTTTCATAAATGGCATTTCAAACCCATTAGTGTGGAGTCACGAACAGGCTTGCTAAATAACAGTTGTCATGATGGCAACTTGTTTAATTGTGTTGTTACGTTCTCTCTTCCTCAGAAACACTTGTCTCAGTGTAAGTTTGCCACAGTGCAGTGCCCTCAGTGTCTGGAATCTGTTCGTAAGAGCCATCTGGATGAACACAAGAGCGAGCAGTGTATACAGCGGCTTATGACCTGCCCTGCCTGTGCAGGGAGCTTTGTGTATGCTAACAAACAGGTGAAAACCGTTGTTTCCTGTTCACATACAGGATATGTTTAGATTTGGTTAAAGTGGTTTTGAAAGATTCTATTATAGTATTTCATATTTAATTATCGTTTATTTTTATATTTTCAGTTCATTTACTTCATTCTACTTTTTTTTTCATTTGTATTTTGCTTTATTTTTGTTTTAGTTTTATTATAGTGACTTTTTTTAGTTTTCTTTTTTATTTTATTTCAGCCTTATTTCAGCCTTATTTTAGTCAACAAAGAACATTTGAATAGTTTTAGCTAGCAATAACACTGTCCAACATTAGTGTCTGAAACATTTGTTTTCTTTTGTGTAGATTCATGAACAGATTTGTCCTTTCGCCAATACAGTGTGTGAATATTGCGAAATGGAGCTTATTCGGGATCAGGTGTGTCAGATGATTTGTCACTAATATGCACATTACCTGAGGCACAACAGTCATTTATTCTGTTTGATACTTCAAATTATTCATTGTGAAACTATGAAGCTGAATGAATCTGTTCTTACTGGTTTCAGTTGGCATTGCACTGTGACACAGACTGTCTGAAAGCTCCTGTGGCCTGTACTTTCAGAACTTTTGGTTGTCATGTAAAGGTGGGCCATGAGATTCCTGTTATATAACACTCCAAAAACATATGCTTTCCTTTTTATCGTTCTGAATAAAGTGCATTCTGGGGACAGTAAGACTTATTTTGTAAGGAATACATACTTGTGTTCAGCAAGGATGCGTTAAATTGATCAAAAGTGACAGTAAAGACACTTTTTAAAAAATTTTTTTTTAAGAATTTCAAATAAATGCGGTTCTTTTGAGATTTCTGTTCATCAAAGAATCATAGTTTCCACAAAATATTAAAGCAGTGCAATTGTTTTCAACACTGATAAATTAGACAAGTTATTTTAAATTGTAATAGTATTTTTGATCACATAAATGCAGCCTTGTGTAGAATATAAGAGACTTGTTTAAAAATATTTTAAAGCCTCTTACTGAATCTCTGAATGGTAGTATATAATACAAATGTCTAACTTTTTTATTTCTTTGGAAATATTACAGATGCCAAGAAATGAACTGGCCCAGCACATGCAGGAATTTACACAGATGCACATGCGTTGCATGGCTGAGTTTCTGCGTAGCCAGACTCTCAATAGCTGCTCAGTGCCCTCATTTGCCACCCACTCTTCGTCAGATGAACGTGGGGCCTCTGCCCGAGCCCCAGATTCTTGCCAGTGTAGACCGGAGCTGATGAACCTGCGTGAGACGGTCTTGGAGCTGGAGGGCCGGCTGGTTCGTCAAGATCAACAGATCCGCGAGCTGTGCATCCACAATGAGACACAGAAAAACCAGGTCACAGAGCTACGCCGAAAGCTGAGCTCACTGGAGGAGGCCACCCGAGAGCTGGAAGCCCAGCAGTATCAAGGCGTCTACGTATGGCGCTTGGAGAACTTCTCACTTCACCTGCGCAACCAAGAAGCCGGTCAGCCCATAGTCCTCCACAGCCCACCTTTCTACACGGGCCGGCCGGGGTACAAACTCTGCCTACGACTGCATCTGCAAACTCCCAGCGCCCCACGCTGTTCCAACTACATCTCACTTTTCGTGCACACTATGCAGGGTGAGTTTGACAGCCAGCTCTCCTGGCCCTTGCAGGGCATGATCCAACTGGCAGTGTTGGACCAGGCCGAGGGGCAGCATCACGTGGAAGTGATGGAGACCAAGCCAGACCTGCAGGCCTTCCAGAGGCCCACTGTCCAGCGCAACCCCAAGGGTTTCGGCTACGTCACTTTCCTGCACCTACAGGCTTTGCGGCAGCGTGGGTTTGTGAAAGAGGACGTGCTGTTGGTGCGCTGCGAGGTCACACCACGATTCGACGCTAGCCTCAGGAGGGAAGGGGTCCAACCTCGGGGGTCAGAACCTTCACTTTGAGTTCCTACATCGCTCCTGCATTCTTAAGTTCTCATAGACACTTTGCTGAAACGAAAATGTGGCAAAACCTGGACTTTCTTTGACTCTTCATGGTACACCAGGCTTAGTAATGATGGTTTTACAAAGTTGCATAACTCGTATGTCTGTTGTGAAGTGTTTTATATACAAATGTTGTTTCTCAAAAACCTTTTAATCAGTGCAATCAATGGACAAACCTACATATGATTAGCATCAGAAATTCACTGAATGTCCTGTCAACCAAGCTAAAGAGTGTAAAACTATTATTTGAATGGTGCTGCTTGTGCTAAGTGTTAGCTTTCACAAATTCTTTTCATGATACTACATTCAACTGCTAATTTTTGCTGCCTTTTCTGCCTACTCGGCAGTAGGGAAAAAATCATTTTTGCTATCTTTTTTTTTTTTTTCTTCATAAAATGTGTACTTAATTTTCATTTATTTGACAAGATCTGACAATTTAAAGCATCATCAGTACAGAGCAGCACTGTTTACTGTGATTATACTAAATGTCGTGCATTGTTCATTTAACAACTTAATGTCTTAAGGTGTGGTTACATTAGCGAAGTTTCGATGAAAAATTGTTAGTGATGCATGAAGTGCAGCTCACAAAGAATTCCCTTTAAAACCAGGCAACTCTCTGTTGGTTAATGGAGTGAATCTGCCTGGGGAAATCTTTCGCCCTCTTACGAAACTCCCAGTCACTTGGATGACAGTCACTCCCAGTTACTGGGTTTTACAAGAAAATTTGCCAAACAACAGTAAATGTGATCACACCTTAATGCAGATGTTTGTCTTGACTGAAAGTTGTCAGCTGCTCTAAATTTCTGAAAGGTGCAGTACATAACAAGCTTAGCCTATAAACAAGACATTACATTTTTTTTTTCCCAAGTCACCTTACTTGTGCTCAATATTGCTAATATGTGTGAATGTTCAACGTGCTTCATTGAAAAACTTTGACAAAGTTTGAATACCTTTTTTTTTTTAATCAGATGGACTAATATATGCAGGTTAATCTGATAATTGTATTGACACTGGAAATCTGACAATCGTTTTTTCATATGTTCTTTTTTACATCACAATATACAGTGCTCAGATGTGTTGATATTTGTCTTTATAAATTATTGAGTGTCACAGTTTCTGTCTTTCTTTCACACTCTTAAGTTCTCACAGATGCTTTCATAACATGGCAGATTTCAGAGGTGTGTTTTAGTCAGATCCATAGTTTGGCAGCAGCTTAATGTCAGAATGAGCATTTGTCACGCTGTGGCGTCGTAGGTTTCCCACTTGCTCGAAGTACATCTCCCCTTCCTGTTCTACTACAGGGGACAGCAGAGAGCCTTCAGAGATGTGATGAGTAATCCTTATCTCAGGATGACTCACTTGTGCTCTTGTGGCGCTTTGTTCAGTGCAGCCTACAGGAGTGTGAGAAAGTCACAGATTTGTAGCCAAAGTTAAAGGGGCTGCAACCTTTATGACATCACCAACCTGTAGAACTTTATTGCATGGAACACAAAAGGGAAACTGAAAGTAAACGAAGACTGGGATTTTTAACCTCCAAGTCATGTGAATTTGGAACAACATGGGGGTGATTGTGTTTTTGGGTGAAATAACATTTTATTTTGTGGTTGGGTAAATGTCAGAATTGTCTGATCATTTTGAGATGGCAACAGAATAACTTTGGGGTTAGATTAAACTATAATGAATCAATGTTGATTTTCCTACTTGCGTGTCTGCAGTTCCATAAGTAGGGTTTGACCACTAGCGCCACCAGACTCTCAAGTTGGCAATATTGCTTTGATGGGCCTCTGGATTCCTGAATTCCCTACACAGACAAGAACAGCCACGAACAATAGAGATGCTTAAACACATGGCCATTCAGCATGTGTTTGTGGTTTATATTCACCTGTAGCACAAGTAGCATTTGTGTGATGGATGCTGGGATGAGAGACAGATTCTTGCACAGCAGGTCACCCAGAGAGAGCTTCAATAGGACCATATCCCTGAAACCGAGAAGAGTCATCTGTCTCACTGTCAACTCCTGCCCCTGCATATAGAATTAGAGAGAGAAACAGAATACATTTCACGCAGAATCAAAATATACCACAATTAAATTAACCACAGGGGTTTTAAAATTTTTTTATTATGCAACCTCTAGCCTTGCTGTGACACATTTGATGTCTCTCAAGTAAGTGCAGACCTCGCGTAAATGTTTGAACCTATTATACTATTTGCTAAGGAATGTCAAGTTCACAAGCAGATTTACCTGCAGAGGATATAAAATAGCCTGCAACGTGGGCAGAATCTCAGTGAAAAACCTATCCCATACCTGGGCCAAAACAAACAGCTGTCTCTCTCCTGAAGGAAAAAGATCATGTTATAATGATGGACACTCACAACAATGGGCTCAAACAGCAGATCCACCACATCTTGTGTCTCACCTTCATGCTTCTGAATCTCATCCAAAATGATTGATAGACCTTTGGTCAAAATCTGATTCTGCAAATAATCATATGAAGAAATATTAGCATGTTTTTCTTTTACCAGTAATGCATTTATTTTTACTTGTTTTACCGGAAGAAGAACGCCAGGGGCTCTGACACACTAAAGCACCTGGAAATACTCTTTGATAAAGAACCCCATATCTGTCCTTAGAAGCCACCTGCATGGGTGATAGCAAATAGCTGCTTAATGTAGTTATTACACATTCATTTAAAATGTGATATTGGAGCTAGTTTAGTTTATACCTGGTATTTTCATTCAAGCAGTACAGTTCATTCGGCTGTAGTTCCTCTCCCTTGAACACCTTAATAACAGCAGCGTAGATACTAAAAAAGAAAGCATTCATATTTTTGAATATTAAAGTCATACTTCAAGGCAACAGAAAAACAAACAAACCTTTACTGGAGGAAAAAAAAAAAAGAAAGTGGACATTTCAAAAATGTCTATACTTGTTTGTAAGAGCAGTGCTGGGACCCTGCAGGATGGTGTCAGCGGTGGATGGAGATGAATGGAGGTCTGTTAGAACATAAGGGTTCAATAAATAAGCCTGTAAAACTTTAGGAGTGAAATGAAGAAATAGAGCTGTCTTTTTAATAGCTCAGGCATGTAGCATAGCCAACTGCTATGTCAGTTCACAGCAACCAGGCCATTTCCAGGTTTTTAGAGCTGTGTGAAAGTAGACAGGTGGATCTGACACATTATCTACTTCCTGTGGTACACCAACTTCCTGTTACTAACTGTCCTGTTCTGTTTACATCTGTTCACTCATTAACCTCAAATCAACTCAACACTTTGTATCTTGTTCTTTTGAGGATCTAGCACACCGACAACATGTCCGAGTGATACAGCAAAATCCTTTCAGAAAACTACAGTACAAAACAAATGCTCAAAAGAAGTCAGAGTTGTGGCCAAAGGATGCAAGGTTCACTGGTGCCGATCTGGGTCACGTCCTGAGCATATATCATACCCCCCCCCCCCAAACTTTTTATAAATAATAAATAAATAATTCTGCATATGCAATTACAACCAAACACATACAGATTTACACATAGTCTCATGAAACGCTTGAAGAGTTTTTTACTGAACTTTTTATTCTTTTTTCTCATTCATTGTTGCCACAAACCATATAAATATTATAAAAATGAGTAAGAAATCATGTATAGTGTTACTGATTTTGCAGCACACACAAATATATTAATCTCAAACATTTGGAACGGAAAGAAAACTTTGTTCCAAGAGCACAAAGTCGTAGTAAAGGAACACAGGAAATGTAATACATACCAAGCCTGTCCATCACAGTGCAGAAATAACTATGATATTAGCAGAGTCCTTTTCAGCTTCCTTACATAATCTAGATCAGGGCTTCAGCGTTAAGAAAAAAAAAAAAACACTGTGGGTTCGTTCAGAGCGAATGTGTCCTCTTTTAGTTCGGGTAATCTTACTGAAAACAGACTTTGCAAAATCCTTGTTTTCCCTCAAGGCTGATTTTGATGTCCCTTGTGCACATTGGGTAAATTTGCCTAGTCAACTGGTTACTGATTCATTACCTATGGGAACGGTATTGGTCATTCTTGATAATGAATAATCTGTGTTTTTCTGTGTGAAACTGTGAAGTGTGCACTGTGAAAGATGATACGAATATGTATACACTACTGTTCAGGTGTTTGGGGGCAGCATATATATATATATATATATATAATTTTTTTTTTTTATATATATATACATTAATATTTTTACTCAGCAAGGATGCATTGATCAAAATACTTTTACATTGTTACACAGACTATTTTAAATCAGATTTTAAATCTTAAACTTTAAGATTTAAAATGTTTAAATCTTAATTTAGAGATTTTTCTTTACAATTTTAAATCTTTTCAAATCTTTTTATTTTTATTTAAAAAGCAACTTTTTATTCTTTAAGAATCCTGAAAAATGTCCATCATGGTTTCCACAAAAAAAAACAGCACAACTATTTTTAATTGTGATGATAATGTTTCTGAAGGATTATGTAACTGATGAACTGGAATAATGGCTGCTGAAAATTCAGCTTTGTCATCACAGGAATAAATGCCATTTAAAATACACTAGTCAACATTTGAAGTGGATCAAAACCTTTCATCAAAGTTGTCCTAAAACCTAAAACGCGTTCATGTCTTAGGACAACTTTTTTTGATCCACTTCAAATGCTGACTACTGCATATTAAAATAGAAAACAGCTCTTTTAAATTGTAACAATATAGCTGTTTTTAGTGGGTTTTTTTAATTAAATAAATGCAGCCTTGGTGAGCACAAGAAACTTTCAAAAACAATCTTACCGATCACAAACTTTTGAATGGTAGTGTACATATATTTATTAATTGTAAAAGCCTATTGAAATTAGGAAGTAAAGGACTTTGTAGCATTCATACAATGCCTTACAATGCAATTCAATTGACAAAGTTAATTTTACTGATAAAGTCTGGCCAGGTTGTGATAGAAGGGCAAAAAGAAAATTAATATTCTTCTAACTACAAAATAATAATAATAACAACACAATTTCAATCAACTGAAGTGCATTAAATTATAAAATGAGTAAAAATTGATATTTTTATTGTATAGAAAATTTGTATAATGATAATTATAATTTAGTGCCATTTAGCTGCAAAAATATAATGCACAAAGAAATAACTCTGCATAGTGTGTCTCTCGTTTTGCGGCCTGGAGTCTCAATTACAATAACCTATACCAAACTACTATTATTCTATTTCCAGCTAAATAAAACAAATGCATAATAACGTGGCCAGATCACTGATCAATGTAAGGCAGTTTCTTGTCGACACCATATCCTGAATGTCCCGATGGCTGCTGTCGCTTGGCTTCCTGTGGATGTGGATTTCTGGAGCTGGCAATGGACCCTGCAAAACACAGATAGGGTAGTGTTACCTTAGGAGGACCAAACCTCTGAGACAATGGAAAGAAGACACTGAGTAAGAGAGAGAACAAATGAGGCACAGAGATAAAGTCAGAAGAAGAGACAATACAAGGGAGACCAACATAATAGTAAAGAAAGCCTCACCTGGGGCTTTAGGTGCGTCTCTGTCACACTTCAGAGTACTTTTGTGGAAACACTCTGCAATCCAAGACAACACCTCTCCACAATACCTCACCTACAGATGAAGTTTCACTTTCAGTAAATCCATGAACTTAAATGACACATCTCAACACATTCAGCCAGCAGCTACTCCTTCACCTCACCTCAGTCTCCACTGTTGCCATGCGCTTTTCTTGCTCCTTAAAACCCCCAACCATCCTCAGCAAACTCTGTACCCTATGAAGTGTTACACGCAAAAAAAAAAGTAGATTAAAATGGTTATACATACACTCATTCAGCATAGATTTGCTGAAGCCACCTGTAAATCTCAATATAAGAAAATGGGTTAATAACACATCTGAGTGTAACTCACTTAGAGGAGGTGTATCGGAGTCTCTCTGCACTGCTCTCCCTGTGCTCATGCTCCAGTTTAGCCAGGTAGTTCTCCTTCTGCACCGTCTCCCATGTCATCAGCTTCTGGTCCAGTCCAGCCGATAGTTCCCTCTCTAGCCATGACAAGAAAAGAGGAACAAACGTTTAACCACAGTTTCTTTAAATATTTTCTTTGCTTTTTTTCTGACGTGTTCCATCATGTCATGTGCTCCTTTCTTGGTCATTTTCGATATTTCTTGTAACTTGCCTCTAAAAGAAAGTTACAAAATGGGTAGGCCTATTCATTATGAATTATCAGAATAATCTGTACAGGAAGCACACACACACACACAGTTTGAAGATCTACTTACCCAGCAGATCCTGCTTGGTTTCTGTAGTTTTGATGAGGCTGAGGAGAGCTTGAGAGATGTGGCTGATGATGATGAAGGGTGGAGCTAATGCCGGGCGGCTGTGGTATTCAACAATCAGGTTATAACGCTGAAACTTCCAGAAGATGTCTGCATTCTCCTGCACCACCTGGAAGGTGTAGCTGTGGAGAGAGTTTCATGGCATTTATAGTAGAAAAAATGAACAAATAAATAAACATATTCAGTGGTGGCCAAAATTAGAACACCTGACAGATCTGAAAATATTGACCTTTTTTGCCTCCAATACATGATTTCATTTCATAATGTTCATGAAACATGCAGATGGTTGCTCTGAGCATCACAAATATCAGATGAAGTGAGTCGTACTGTTTTTATCCACTTTTAACTTTAATATTTGGTATGTCCACCTTTTGCAGCAATTACAGCAGTACATCTCTCTGGCATAGTGTCAATATATTTCCTGAGAACTTCAACACTAATTTCATCCCATGCCTTCTGCAACTCAAGCCAAAGGCTTTCCTTTGAATGTACAATAGATCTGTCCAGTTTGTGTATGTACTGTATGTATGTATGTATATATACATATACATACAAACAATATAAACACACACACACACACACACACAAAACCTAAACATAACTCTTTACTGGAAAAATGCAAATACATTTGAAACTGTACTTTACTACTCTGCAATGAAGAATTACCATAACATAGATATTAGCCAGACTCTGACCTGAACATGGCAATAAGAAGGTTGAGCAGCAGCACATTTGTGACCAGCAAATAGATGACGAGCAGCAGAATGACCAGCCAGTTGGCGTAGATGTTTGGGCAGGGAGGCAGAGTGCCTAAGATGATCTCCTGCACATCAGTAGTGCAGTTATCATCTGGCATTTTTGCCGCTGTGAAGATACATGGACAACTACAGTCAACAATAAACTACAATAGCTCCACCTAGTGTTCAAGTCTAATAACTAAACACAAACAGATACTGACAGAAATTATCTGACTACATTCATAGAAAAAAAAAGAAGAAAAAAAAAACCTTTAGAATCTAGGTCAATTATGAATCTATGTCAAATAGCTCTCTCTCTCTCTCTCTCTCTCTGTGTGTGTGTGTTTGTATAAGAAATATTGCCTTGGTAACTAACTGAAACAAGTTTGAGCTAAAATTACTAAATTAAAACTGAAAATATAAAGACCCAGTCGATGCGCGGGTCATTGGGGTGCAGAAGGGCTTGTGTCGTCACTCCATACGCTATCAGCCACACGCTCAGGAAGAACAAGAAGAAGAACACATCTTTGATCTGTGAAACCATTTAAAAACATGATGGATGTTTTGGAGGTTAAATGGATGTTTCTTCTGACTATGATTTGTAATTTTAAATGAGATGATGTCAAGTTTCACCATTCTCTCCACAATGATGATTTTAGGCCCGAGTTGCTTATGGATGGCAAAAATGTGAATGAGTCTTAAGGTGAAAACCATGAAGTCCAAAGCAAGAACAGTGCGGCCAGCCTCATACGTGCTTGGGGCCATCCTTGAGAAAACATAGGATTCATATTAAGCACATTGTTACTTTAATGCGGCTCATACAACAGCACTATGTGATCATAATACCTGCATGACAATCCCACCACGAAAAGAGAGATGGCCACCATGTCACATTTGTTCCAGTTATCCTCTACATATAGCTTCATCTTCTTAAAAATACTCATGTCTTCATCTGTGAAGAAACTCTGTGGATCAGAGAGTGTTAAAAATGATCGCATACACTGAATACCAATATAACTGCACTGTGTACTTCAGGAGGATAACCAACTAACTTCAGACCCATCAAAACAATAACTAAACCAGTATCTTCACCTGTGATGCCACTCTTATAAACAACTTCCCTGAACTGGATATGTTCCTTAACCCTTCTCCCAGTTTTGTTGGCACTTTTTGTTCAGCTGCTTGGGCACACTGGCCACTTCACTGCTAAACTGCATTTGTACCTGTTATTTCGGATGAACCCTACACTCCACCCTGCATGTGTATTGTATTGTGTATTGTATATTGTTTGTATTTTCCTGCACTGTATTGTACTATATTATATATGGCATGTTGCATTGTACTGTATTGTATGATGAACCGGTTGTGCTCTGTTGCATTGCATTTTTTACTGTATTTTTGCGATGTACTTTTCTGCAGTGTTTAAAATGTTAGACTTCTGAAAGGCAATTTATATATATTTTAATACAAATTTTCTGTACATTATGAAGATGTAAAGTACAGATTATTAATCAGAGTATATTGTCTGTATCAACATGTCAGGGTTAACTAATACTAGAAAATGAAATGAATTAATATTAAAATTAATTTATGTGAACTTTTAGGTTCATTTTAGAATACCTCCTTAAATTCAAATTACAGTTATGCACCTTATTTGCTACTTCAATACAAATCAAATTAGAATTCACAAGGAATTTTGCGCAACCCTGTGTGTGACCCAGTGTGTCTGAAAACCGGCCACACTACATCAGTGTTATTTTAGTATTATTTATATGTTATTACAGTAGAAATTCATATTTTAAATTATTATTTTAACATTTCAGTTTTCATTTTAATGTTAGTTTAATTTTGTTATATTAAGGAAAGTTATTCTTCCTTGGCCAGGAAAATAATCTTTCTTTGAATTGATAAATGATTATTTTGTCTGCTCGGTGGACGGACAGATCAAGTAATGGTAATATTGATTCTGCTACAGTTAATTCGAAAATCTAATCTAAATATTTATTATTAATCATAACCAGTTATAATTAGTCATAAATATTTCCCTTTTGAGCTGATTTACTACACTATTGTCATTTTTATTATATTTCTATGTAGCTTAACTTTTTCTGATTTAGTTTTAGTAACTTTAGTACTAAAACTTATTTTGAAATTAAATTAAAAATTATTTTTTTGATTTCAGTTAGTTGCTAAGGAAACACTTCTAATTTTAATTTACATTTTTCTTCTAAAATTTACATTTTATATTATTTCTGTTTTATTTCAATTAAAGATTTTTTTAAAGTTTTCGTTTTATGTTAACAATAATAACACTGCTTTACATATTCTAAAGAATCCTAAAATTAGACATGTTAACTAGATATCTATGATAACTATGTTTCTCATATTTTTTGATAAAAAAAACTCAAAGTCATTTCAGCAGAGAACCATAAGAGACTTTCAACATACAAACACAATTTAAAAACAACCACACAGATTTTAAACAATAGATCATTGGCATTCGGTCCTACCTGACGGATTTCCTCCAACACCAGGGTAAAGACCCAGAAGTAGAGGATAATTTCAGCTGCAGACGGGCCATGTGGCAGTGGGGGCCTGAAGTCCAAAAGGAGCACGTAACTGAACAGAATGAGGAAGGCAAAGTACATGATGACATTCCCCATGAACACAGTGCATGGAGCGCTCCAGAAACGATTCCACTTCTGCAGCATCACATAAATGAAAGTTGCACTGCAACTCTGCACTGCAGAATCACCGCCACCTTCAGCAGCGCTAAGAAAAAAAAAAGAAAAACGAAAACAGATGTCTTCAAAAAGATCTTTCAACTTCACTGTAGTTTTTAATCTATTCCAGTATGAAACAGAGGCTTACACTGGGTCCTCGTCTGTGAGTAACAAGGCCTGCTCTGTTTCCAAACTGTCCAGCTCGGCAAACGGTTCCCCTTCACCTTTGCTCACTTTTTCCTCTGCACTGTGACAAATGCACACACATATTGATGCACAATGAATCAAAAATCAGTTTAAATGTCACACATGGAATTAATCACAACAAATGTCCCCACTTGAACTTGACGAGGTTGGTCCAAACGAGGGGAGGCATGAAGAACGTAAGCACGAGTCTAGAGATGGAAGTGTCTGTCCTCATGGCTCCCCACCAGACTTTGGTCAGCAGGGCCTGTGCAAGAGCATCCAGGTTGATCATGGGGATATGGTTGGTTGGTGGCATGATAATGTAAGAATTAGTCATAAGCTGTGACCTGGACACCATCATGAGCAAAAAAACATTTGGCGTCTGCCAAAGTGGCGAGATTCAGGACCGTTGCTTTGCTCCAGCAGCATGTTTTCCTCACCAGGAGCGCATAGGCTCTGTCTTCACTGTTTGAATAACACTCACTGAACAGATCTGTCAGAACAGTGCAGGTATCAGGACTGACAGTTCTGGTAGTTACACTTAATGAAATATTTCATCCAGAAATTAACATTGTGTGTCATTTACTCACCCTAACTCAAATTAACTGTTTGGTTACCATCATTCTTCAAATTCTTCAAATCAGCCGTAAAGAAGTCATACAGGGGTGAGTTATTCCTGATTCTGTTCCTCAGACAAAACTATTGTATGACTTCCGAAGGCTTGGAATACTGCTTTTTGTATGAAGCACTTTTACCATTTTTGGTGCATTCTGAAATGCTTTCCAAAATGTTATTGTATTGAAATGGGACAATGTTGAGTAGACCGTAACAATTTTCTACTATTTGTTTTACTTTTTTTTATCAACAGATTAAGGCCCCTTTTTTAAAGAAAGTTAGCACCATATTTGACCCTGGTATAAACTACAGTGTCAAAGATTTACAATAAAAATAACTGTGACTGTGGCAGGATTATTACGACACGTAGTTAAAAATGACCCAGAGTTCACAGTTTTAAGTGTGAAAAACCATCCATGTCAGTATATCACTAAAGCCACTAACTTTTATTGTAATTAAAAAAAAAGCTTCCTTGTACCTTAATATTGGATTAGTTTGTTCCCTATCAAGTGGTTTGACAAAAAATTTACTCGACAAAGATGAAATGTTTGAATGATTGTGTTCTCCGCTCTGCTGAGCAATGAGCCTGTTGCTTGGTGGTGGTGTGATTCTCATCCATAGCAAACTGCTCGTATTTGGCATTCTTCATACTGCGAGCAGTCTCTGCTTCAGTAGCCAGATGGGCCATCTCCTTCATTATCTTACAGCCCACCAGAGCACTTGCCACGGCCTCCGGGCCCTAAAAAACACAACCAACTATTAAAGAAGAATGTACAATAATGCATTGAACAAGTTAGGGTGAGCGTACATCCTTCTTTTCCCGGACATGTCCTGGCTTGGATTTCTAAACTTCCTAAAATGTCTGGGTTTGGCGCTTTGTTTCCTATTGTCATACCCTCTACAGTCCTCATAATTTATATTTAGACATATTTGCATTGGTTTGACCATTCTCTGTAGAACGGTCAACCTTCTAACAATCCACGATTGGTCGATTATGTACAATGCCTGCACGCTATTGGTCAAATGACTTTTCAGTCATTTCATTCAATAAGTATAAAAACAGCAGACTGATGTCAAAACCCAGAAGACTAATTCACCATGGGTTACCTTAAAGGGACAGTTCACCCAAAAATGAAAATTCTGTCATTAATTACTCACCCTCATGCCGTTCCAAACCTTCGGAACAACAAATTAAGATATTTTTGATGAAATCCGAGAGCTTTCTGACCCTCCATAGACAGCAACGTAACCACCACGTTCAAGGTCCAGAAAGGTAGTAAGGACATCATTAAAACAGTCCATGTGATATCAGTGGTTCCTCCTTAATTTTATGAAGCTACAAGAATACTTTTTGTGCGCAAAGAAAACAAAAATGACGAATTTATTCAATCTTCTGTCATTTTTGGGTGAGCTATCCCTTTAATTTAAGATTTTCCTCTGGGTTTTTAAAATTAGTTTTTTTTCTATTATTGAGCAAAAAAAGGTCTATGGTAAACATAACTTGACGATACTTAGATGTTTTGCAGCAGCAGTCTATTGGAAAACAAAGCCAAAACCAGGACATTTTAAGCAATTTAGAAATCCTGGCCAAAACATGCTCTGGAAAGAAGAGGACATATGATCACCCTAAATACTTTGCATACAGTACAAATAAGCCAGAACTGTGAACCTCAAAATGCAAAAACATAAACAGTAAATTCATTCAGTATTTATCCTCAGCTTGTCAGCACTTTTGTTCATGCAAATTGCTCTTTGTTCACCCACCCTTTTAACGTTTAATCTGTGAATCCTACTAATGTCATCTGTGATACTCAACAGCAAATGACTGGTAATCAATGGGACTTAGGTACTTACACCTGTTAAGGTCTAAAGAATGAATTGTGAACATGTAAATGGACTTAGTTTATGAAAATGAGCTCATCACTCATATCGGTTTATTGACTCACCATTGCCCAGAAGTAGTTTGCCATTTCCTGCCTATTTTGCAGGATAGCCCAAAGGAAGAGGTCTCTCCAAGGGTTATCACAACGACGGTCCATGTCTGGGAGGTTTTTCTGGCTGTGGAAAAGCCGGCCTTTCCCCATCCTCTCCTGCAGCAGATAACATTTTATAGCAGGACTGTAGCATGGTGGGTTACGTCTAAGTGCGTGTTAAAGGCCCACTCACCGCTGGAAGTTTTTGGTAAAAGCCCCTACAGGTGTCATCAAGAAAGTCTTTGAGGACTTTGGAGACCTCATGGAAGGTGAAACGAGGCCTGCGGTCACCGGGTTCAGTGTGAGGGTGTCCTGACATCCGTTTGTTAGCCAAATGAACCTGATGCTTTTTCAGGAGCAGGGTGTGAAGGAGGTTTTTTTCAGAAACAGAGCAGTAGAGTTCCTGAAGACGGCCATAAGTTAGGAATTCATTTATGTTCACGCCGTTATCCACAAACAAATGCACAAAGTCAGGCTTGTCATTTATCAATGCCTCCATCATCACCTCCTCCAGGTCCTGAGCCTAAAAGAGCGTAAAGAAATATTGTGTATGAGAATCCAAAAAACCAAAAGGCAAAAAGTAGTGATAAACTAAATACAACTAACAAAACAATTTTGTTCTCACACTCCATGCCACATCCCCACTGAAGATCTCACTTTTAGCAATGTCCACCCTATTCTAGGCCACAGCCAGTTTCAGCTCATCCAGGAAGTCCTGTGCTTCCTGACTTTGACTCTTACAAGCTGAGCCCAGACAAGAACATTTATGAACTCACTGACATCATTATGCAGAAAAATATAATTCCTACAAACATTCAAATAGAGAAATATACCATTCCCCCAGATGTTTGCTGGAGTTAGTATAAAATCAGTTACACACCTTTAACCAAAGCTTTGAGAATTACTGTGTCCAGTTCTGAGTCCTGCTCTGGGTCATGAACTGTCAGCAGGTGACCGTGGTCCAATATTCTCTGGATCTAATGGACAAAATCCAAGTCTTTACACACATAACTTGTGCCTAAAACAGCATGATCCATCCTTGCATAAAAACACAATGTCTAGCTATCTTAAAACAAAGATAGTCCTTTACCAGTTTGACCCAGGAAGGGATTTCAGTGCTGTGTAGGCCATTGGTAAAGGTGTGTATCAACAGCTCTTGGACCATGTCAGCATCCCAGCAACCTCTGTCCATCAGGGTCACTAAAATATCAGCGACTCCTCCTGAGCCAGCTAAAATCAGCCAGGGTATTGAATTCTGAATATTCTTGTACATTTTCTGTAAGAATGGATTGAAAGTGAATAATACCATCATGCTACAACAAAACACTTCATTAGATATACTTGTGTTAAGAGTGACCTGCAATATCCTTGGCTCTCCATGAACCAGAAGACATAAGACAGGGATTTCAATACTGCCTGTGCCTGTTAGAACAATAAACTCCTTTGAAAATATATGCACGAGAACATAAAACACTGCTAAATTTACAGAGACATTCGGGGAGAAAATGCATCTCAACTCACCCCCATATCCTGTGCGCTGCAGAGAGATGTGTTTGAGCATCTCGACTCTCATCTCACCAGTGGCTCCAGGTCTCTGTAGGTCCTCGTCCACCAGAATGAAATGAGAATGATTGCAGTCCAAAGAGTACACTGCACCGTGGGGAAGATCCTCAGATGGATATTTTGCTGGATGGTCAGGCTAAACAAAAATACCAAATTATAAAAAAGAAACAATGTTTAACAACTTATAAAAACAATTTTCATTTGATTTTTAAAAAATGTATTTGTACACATAAATATTTAATGAAGTTATAGAGTGGGAAATTTCGTAGGCCATACCGGAAGTTAGCATCACTCTGATTTTCTTGACAAAAAGCCAAAAAAAATGTTCCACTAGCTTTTGGATTAATGCAGAAAAACTCAGTGACCAACAAAAATTCTGAAGCCTAAGTACAATCTCCCGAAGTAAAAAGATAAAGTTAGGCTTTAAACAAACTACACAACGTTTGCATGACTTAACATCGTCACCTCTTGAGCTCATTCAATCTTACAAGTTTGAGTTAGAATAGTTTGAAAGAGTGCAAGTATAAACACAACGAGGCTGTAAAAGAATAATGTCGCCTTCAGCCTCTGTAGTCCTATTTAGACACTTAAACCGCCATTTTTAAGACATGTAAAAGCTAAAAACAACACAAGTGAGGTATTACTAATATATTTTATATTATATAATAAATTGTGGAAACATCTTGAGCATGGGTAAACCACGAAACAAACAAACAACAAAAAAGATGGAAACTAAGTGCAGGAATTCTAACTTGTTTCTGGGTTTTAGGACTCATTTCTGCAGCACTCTCTTGTGTAACAAAAAGTCCACATGCTTTTTCCATGCAACTGAATCATATAATTGTAACATAAATCACATAATTATGACATCAAAATGTATCACTTTCTATTCATGTCAGCAGGAAGTCCTCACCCTTGCAGCCAGCAGAAGATCTCTGTTCTGAATCATGTTCCAGGGAGCAATTCCAATGGCCACCACTCTCACCTTAGGGGAAGTGCTCGCTAGAGAGTGGTCCCTTACAGCCTGACCCAGGTTCTGGGTGATGCCAAAACGCAAACCACTGGTGAGGATCCATGCCCCTGTGTGGGTCAAGGGTCATAGGTTTGTAACAGTCAAAAAGAGATTGCGATTTTTGTTTTTAGTGAACAATAAATTACCCACCTGTGCTCTGTGCTGCCTTCACAAGACCTTTCCTAAGTGTGTCCCTCAGCCAGGGCTTCATCTGAGCCACTTCATCACCTCCCATTAGTGCCACCACCAGATGAGGAGGGGCCAGACCCCACTGCTTAGTCAACATCTGGTAGATTTCAGCTGGATCTGTGGAGCTGGTTACCCTGACAAACTGGACTGACAAATAAAGTCTGTGAATAATGTGCACAAGCTTGAACTCATTAGTGGTGAATTTGAGTTACAATGAAAAGATTCTATAAATATCTGTCCTTATATACCTTGCCCCTGGTCCGACTGACTCCAACAAAATCAATATCTCCCAAACGTCCGGCCATCCATTAGGGTTTATCAAACCTCTCATTGCCCTTCTCGCCCATTTGAATAACAGACTCTGTAAGCGGGGTGTAACACTGACATCCCGGTAGAGAACTGCAAATAGTGACACACAAGCTCAAGAATTTTGAACGGTGTTAAATATTTAGTGGTAATAAGTGGTGCAACTAGTCTCACCCGTGTTCTTGGGACTCAATCAACAGTTCCCCACATCGCAGACACCTCCTGCCCTGCCATAACACCCCCTACAGACAGAATTAAAATGCATTTGCATCCCAGTCCAGTCAGGTGCAGTCACAGGAGCTGCTGATTTGTTCAGCGAGGCACTTCAGGTAGTTGGAAATGTTTATGTAAAGCAGAAGCAATTTTCATTTTCATTCTTTACACACATGCAAACACGCCCTCCCTTCTGGTAAAGGCCGAGCCACATATGAACTGAGAAACTGATGTGCTTTTTACCAACCAGAGGTAAAGTTAGAGTCAGAAAGCAAAAAAATAGCAGGCAAGCAGAAAGAAAGAAAGAACAAGTTAAAGACAAAAAAGTAGACACTAGATTTCAGCTGCATGGTGTTTGAATATGGAAATATGCTTTAACATAAAAAATGAATCATTATAAACACTGATAGCAGCCATAATTGATCACCCACAGAAGTAGTCTATGCAATTGACAACTAAAGCTTATTTGCATCCTGGTCAACAAGTGATTATGAAGTCAGTTCCCTCATGTGGTTGAAGAGGCACGGACAGAAACAGCCATAGTAAAAGCAGTCAGGAACAGAAGTGTAATGCTATAAAACCATTTCAGGCAGTTCACAGCATGTGATTGGTGCAATCAGATCTGAATGAGCTTGATTAATCTCTTTTCAATCAATTTGATCCAAATGCTATCAGGTCCAGGTATAGCTTTCACCATGCCTGCTTCATGCCAGCCATTTTAAACCTTTCGAAACTTCCAGTTTCCTAATGGTTGCCATTCATTTCATTGTTTTTAAGCAGGAGACGCAATATGGTTTGATCAGTTAACATGCAATTGCTCCCAATTGCTCCCAATCGGCATTCATTGTGAGCTGCTCATTGAATGTTTATGTAAAACGTGAATACATAATAATTGATTTGTGAAGGGAGGATGTGATTATTGAAAAGTACCAGTGACACTTATGCAAACATGACTGATGTGTGTGTGTGTGTGTGTGGGAGTGTGGAGAGGTGCAGGAGCTGCCCATGATTTGACTAGGGGATGAGATGGGGTGTATGATGAGAGAAGAAAATGCCATAGACACTGCAGCACACAAACACAATCATTTGCATTAAAGGTCACACACAGACATTAGATCCATGAGGAAACAGATCTTTAGCAATGACACTTTATCAATTAATTGTTTTTACTATTATAAAAATTTTTTCTACAACATCATTTTATCTCTCCATAGACTTTTTTTAAAGAAAATATATTTTCTTCAGTGTCCAACCATGTACCTGAACAAAAGTCAAGACATTAAAACACACAATAAAACTAGAGAGTTTGTCCTGAAACCAGTACCTTGAAATTTCAGAAACATCTTAGGCTGTAGAGGTATGTGAACAATAATTTGAAATGCTAAGCTTCACATATAGGCTATTAGTCACAAAATGCAAAATGAAAATATTTTCTATATTAACGTGGCTGCATCTTTACGTATTTTGCTGTGAACGTCTTTTTCAGAAACTTTTCAACAATTTATATTCAACTCCACAGAAATGATCTGGAATCTCATGCCATGTTTTTTGTTAAAAGAGCTGACTTACCAGAGGAGTATCCTGATGCCCCAGCATATCTGGATGTTGGCTTTGCTCTTGGATCCTCTAGGCCCCTACAAGCTTGGGCAGCTCTGAGTGTCACCAGGAAGTGAATCGGAGGGTTTATGATGACAAAACCACTCCCTAAACAACCGCTGCTACCTACATTCAACCACTTACCTGCCTGCCTCCACCACAAGCATCCCTTACAGTAATACAGCAACAGGAAAATAGTTTCAAAATAGGTGATTAATTTAATTTACATGCTTACTATTAGTTTTTCCCTCATTAGATTTAGACATTTGAAATGTTTGAAACTTTGAAGATTTTAAGACTGCTTAAAATACCTTGGAGGACTTTTTCTAAATGTTGCTAATTTGTTAAAAATAACTTTTTTTAACACATGAAAGCTTCTTAAACTTTTCAGAATTCTTAGATTTGGAAAAAATAGAATTCAAAAGACTGTTGTAACTAGAATTAAAGAAAGACACCACAGGAGAATATAGGTAAAATAAATAAATAATATACATCATATCTGATTAATCCCCAGCTGATTAATCACAGTATATAAAGACAGTTGATTTGTATTACAAGTTTTCTGAAATGTTATGTTTAAATATGCAAATGAAGCATTATGCATAAATATCCAGAACAGATATCTGAGCACAGGATAAAATCAGGTTCAAAATTCTTGTCTCTTTTTGTTGATTAGAGTTTCCAAACGGAAATTTGGATATATCTTTTTATATATATAGCATATATATATTTTCCATTTAAAAATATAATTGAAATCTACAGGTGCAAATAGATAAAATGTCATAAAATAACACTTAAATGTCTATTAATGTAACGTTTTTTTTCTACGAGTCTGAAAGTTATGGAAATTAATTTTGTAGGATATTTTTAACTTACACGTTATTAGCTGACGTCTGACGTTAGTCTGCAGTTGCGCGAGTTAGCCACTAGGTGTCAGCAACTCCTAAATCACAGCACGAAGGCGAAGAGGATGTCGAAGTCGTCCTTAAAATGTGTGTAAAATCTACCACAGGCTCTGTCTCGATACATTAAAAAAAAACTGCCTCGTGGGGCAGTATACGGTAGCAGGAAGGTATCATCGAGATGCCTTGAAAGCTGGTCTGAATAAAATCAGGTTACTTCAGAGATCTTGCCGACTAACTACGCAGCGGACCATATCAAGTATGTAAAAACTTAATTTCATATATTAAGGATGAGCTAGGCCTAATTATTTAAGAAACGGATGCTATCTGTTAAATAGCTAATACATGCAAGTTAAAGGGGTCATATGATGCGATTTAAATTTTTCCTTTCTCTTTGGAGTGTTACAAGCTCTTGGTGCATAAAGAAGATCTGTAAAGTTGCAAACACTAAAGTCTCAAAACCAAAGAGATATTCTTTATAAAAGTCAGAGCACACCTCGCTTTTCAGACCGATTAGTTTTGTAAAAATCGACGCGTTTCAAAAAGGCGGGGCATAGAGGAGAAACAATAACAGTATGTGGAAAAATAATGTGTTTTTTTAACTTTAAACCGCATAAACACATTTCATTACACAAAATACACAAAATAATGTTCTTTTTAGCAGCATCATATGACCCCTTTAAAATATTAAATGTGAAATATCTAAATGTATAAGTATATATAGAATGTGCGTTGCTCTCACGCAGAGCGAACTTGGCTGATATGCAGTGTTATTAACATTGCTGTGATGTTAACCGTATCCTGGGAAACGTATTAACACATATTGTAGATAATGTAAAATGTATTTAACACTTAATTAGCATGTTTTATTTGGGTGGGCAGCTGTAGCTGGTGTTAGATTCGAGTTAGGCCTTTACACAGAGTAGTTTGTTCCTTATTGCAAAGCAAATCTCGTCCGCTCAAGATCGTGACCGCGGCCATCTTGCGAATGCGCTTGACGTCATCATCGGCCGTTGGTTGAGCTTCGCGCGCCATTGGTTGACACCCAGTGTTGGGGAAAGTTACAATATTGCGTTACTTATTTGAAAAAGTAACTCTCTTGTAAATTAAAAAGTAATGCGTTACTTTACTAGTTACTTGAAAAAAAGTAATCTGATTACGTAACTCGCATGACTTGTAATGCGTTACCTCCAACACTGTTGACACCCCGCCCAGCGGCATCAGAAGTGCGCAAATGGACTCTATGCATGACACACAGCCTACGTATTTCCGGTGAAATCTCAGGGCGCATAAAAGCGTCCGGTCTGTATTTAACCATAGCGTGAGTGCATTACCAGCCATTTGTCAATGAACGATTAATATAAACTGATATTTCTATATTTTATTGCTATAATATAACAAATTAAATATACCACAGTAATGTAATTATTTAATGAAGAGTTCCATAAAGTTTTAACATCCGTGAGGGTGGTTTGTCCCGCTATTGCTGTGTCCCGTTTTGTGAGGCTTCCAAAAGTTTTTTTCACACTTCTCCCCTGGATGAAGAAACTCACAACAAGTGGATTCAGAGTAGTAGATGTAAGGATTTTAACATCACTTCTGATACTACAGTCTGCAAAGTTACACTAAGAAGGACGACAGCATATGGTTCTACACTAGGTAAGATCTAAATCCTTATTTACATTACTATATTTACCCAGCACAATGTAGGCTTATTGTGAATTTGTTTTGTCGCTGTGGTTGCCCGTTTGTTTAAAAACCTCTTCTGTGGGTCTGGGCGATACGTGTTAACGAGTTAATAGACGATTCCCCTAAAAATAAAAATAAAGCTCTCATCATATACTCAACTTTGTCGTTTTAAATCCATGGCTTGCTTTCTTCATTGGCATACAGAAATGTAAATAATGTTAGTGTCAGTCAGCTGTTCAGATATTTTTTCCCCACAGAAGACATTCATAATGGTTTAGAATGACTCGACGTAGAATAAGCTAAAACCCCAGCTAAAATAATATTTTCATAAGAGTACTTGCATGTCAATACATTATACATTATATATATTTAAAGTAACCTTCAGGTTCAGTGTAGACAACCTAATTTGCATTGTTATTATATTGTGTGGTGTGTATTTTCTGAAAACATGTCTTGCATCCAATCTAGATTTGAGATGTAGAACCATTTAATGGCCTTTTGGAGAGTTACTGAACCTGCTTCCCACATGGTTTGTGTGACCAGAGCAAGGACAGCTACAACGAGGAGTGGAGTTGGAGTAACAAGCAATGCGATGGTAAATATTGATATTATATTGGTTGTGACAGAGAAAGAAAATGTTATATTTATTTTTATTTTTTGATGCACACGTTACATGCATGCATCATAATTATTTAAAATTTATTTTGACAGTGTCAGTCTCTGCAGCCCTTCGATGAGTTCCTCCTCTTCATGGTTCAACTTTCAGTCGGTCTTCCACAGAGAGATCTGGCCTTACACACAACACTTAGAATGGATTAATTTGGTTTTATTTGTACAGACTAGAATATAAAATGTAAATTTAATATAATGCAAATGCAAATATATATATAACTTTAATACAGCTTCTTGCTCACCAGTCTAATCTAAACATGCAAATATAAACATGTACATTTTAGAAACTTTGATACGGTGTAATAGTTATGTAAAATACAAATACTAATAACTGTGATAATGTAATGTTTTTTTTATTTCTTTTCACACTTCTGCCACTTGGAGGACTTATAGGTCAGGCAGATCGCTGGTGACACCACTAAAGCGTTCTCCTGAGATGAAAAACAAAGGTATAGTGTAAATTGACCATTAAAGAAATAAAAATCTTCCACCACTGTCATTACATG